ACAACGCATAATAGCGTAATGTTATAATTCTTGGGACTCACTTTTGGAGGATGCCAGTGATAAAACATAGTCTTCGACGTTCTCCAAAGTGAGACCTCCATTCGCAATTAAATATAAGAGATAAATCATAGATATTACACCATGTTTATAACTCAGTTTTTCATAACAGAAACATCGTATTCTTGGAAGAACATATCTAGGAAAACGTCCTGTGCTCACATGTAGGAACCCGTATCTCCTCGCCATGAGTGATTGTGAAATTTGTATTACTTTCTTTGTGCCTTTCCACATTCTGGGCTGGTTTTACTCCTTTTTTTCTGTTTACACTCGTTGATCGCCCTATATCGTAGCACACAATGCTGTATAATCTCCGCTGTGTGATATCGTGTGAATTGTCATTGTTATTAGTGTTACTACGGTACATACATACATATACTTAACATCGTAATGTCATTTGCTTCTCTGTTTACCAGGAATTTTCTCTGTATATGCGTAAAATTTTTAAAAAAACTAGACCGCTATTTTACAAGCCCCATTCTCCCTTCGACGGCAAAAATACCTATTTGCTTATTGCGGTGTGGGCTTCATGTTGTCAAATTTGTTCTTATGAAGAGAGAGAGAATTGTTTTGACTAAATAAAACACTCGATTGTTTGGCCTAAACGCTTAACCCTTATCGGCATCCGCCATTTTATTACCGTGGCTTTTGCTGTTTCCTTTTTTCAAGGAAAACGACGGAAAAACCTATTATTCCAAGGAAAAACCTATTAGGCAACGATTTTACTAAACGGCAATGGCTGATACATGTTAATGAAACCATCACCTTGATTCAAGGTCATGCTAATAACAGGACGTATCTAGTCTTGCTGATACATGATGTTATTTATCCCTTGTTCTAGATGTATATTTGTTTTGTGTGCTACACTGCTGCACGTCGTCAATGAGCTCAAACTTGTATTTTCGGTAGATCTCGTGACATGACCTTCAAATAAAGTAGTTCATCCTTAGAAATTCGAAATAGCATTGGGATCAAATAGCTACCACCATTTGAATTACTTAGATTTCAACAAGGTCGACTACAAAGTGGACCTTTTCTTGTCATTGGGCTTTCTACAAATCTGTGGAAGTATTTGTGCATCTAGTTAGCGTGAAGCATAGCCTGGGCTTAGAGCTCTGCAGTACATGCTCGTTATTTGTCTTTCAAAAACGTTTTTGTTTTAAAACATCAAACTTATAAAAATGTTAACTTTGGCGTAAGTTTAAAGGTTCATTGCGATGAAATGGACAAATTTATACCGAGTGAACTTAGCGTAATGCCGCAGACAATAAGTTAGCATGAAAACCTTTCTCTTTAAGCAATAAAGGCACATTTACCCTTATTGCATGATTTAGATTCACACACAATCCACGTATTATGCTGCATCTGGTTAAAGGCCACCGTCGCATACATATTGTACGTGCCCACAAAAGACCGCTTGAAAGTATGCCCCGATATATTATTAACCGAAAAAATAGAATTGAAACATAATTTAATGTAAATGCGCAGTATTGTCAATATGTTTGACGCCGGCTGGTTCTCCTATTTTGCAACAAGAGATCTACTTTTATAAGTAACTTCTACAAGTCCACTTCGCTAGAAATTCAAAAACTAAATTTTTTTTATATTCCTATATAAATCTTTTAATCAAACCCACAAAAGTTGACGCTTAAAAAAGGGCGGCTGCTAAATGCCATTTGATCTTTAGTTGATAATAATTGCATTTATTATGGTTCGTACATAATAATCGATTGGATACTTCTTTCGAGAATCCGAAAATTAAAAAAATGTGATTTCGATTGATAAAAAGCAGAGCAGACGATGATGTTCCATAAGGAAAGAACCAACTGAAGCGCCATCAATACAACATAAAAAGTCAATCAAAATGGCTGAATCGATTTTTACAATCCTGAAGGCCGTAACAGCTTACAAGTTTATGCCAACAAAACTCGTGTCATTAATACTATCGCCGTACCAAAACGGTGATTGTCAATCAACCAACAGAGAAACTAACACGTAAGTATCACAGTATTTATAGCATGTCTGCGGTTTTCGTCACCATATATTTACCTGTCAATTTATCCATCTATTTATTATCTATTATATCTAGTAGTAGCTCCTCTCGTTCGTCCCTTGGGTCTGGCAAGCCTGTCGATATGACATCATTGAGGGTTTGCTGAGAGGAATAAGAGTTCCATTTTTTTTTTATCGTTTTTCTACTGGTTTCCGATTTTCCGAAGGACAACTTGTTACGAGCGATCCTTCGTTGCCTATGTAGTCTTTATTCTTCTCATCATATGCAAAGTAAATACATATCTTTCTTTCAGGGCTACAAGGGAAGCTACAATTCATCTAACTTCCAAACAGCATCTCATTCCCGTAGCTCCAGAAGGAAAACAGAAGACAAGATCAACAACGAATTGCACGATGCACGTATCATTGCACAGACAAACTGCCATCCAAGCTAGAACGTCCTACATACTCGGCTGCAACTATTTCGAGCCATCGCGGTCGGCCGAGTGATGTCCAAGCGCACGTGTACTGAGCACAATAGCTACGAACCAAACTAGCAGCATAGTAGCATGTTAAGAGCAACAAACACGGATAGCAACAATATCGTCGACAATGACAGCAGCGACCCCCACGTCTTTTTCTTCCTAGTTGCTATTCTGTTGGCAAACGAGCAGCTCTTTGAGCTTGATACTCGAAGCAGCGCGGCGCATGAAAGCTAGCGCATTTACGTGAGATGGCGGTGTTGATGGATGACGCCATCGGAGTGAGAAATAGATTCCCTAACATTCCTTTCTCCCCCTTCTACTGTCTTCGTAAGGAATCGATGCGAAGCCACGGGCTGGGTGACGACAGAGAAAGAAAGAGTTAAAAGCTGAAAGTATCGTGAAAAAGCTGGGAGGAGTGGGCAAAAAGGACATACGAGGCGCAGGGACCCATGGCTATTTGAGAACATCGAGTGGGAATTCCAAAACAGCTAAACTATACGAACTGAGACGGCTTCATAAACTCCTGCATAAAAGTATGGTTAGAAACGCTACACGGCAACGTTGGGGTATCATCCACGTACAGCAGTCTTTTATTGTTCTTTTCTGCTTCTTTCTGTATGCTGTGTTACCTCTTAAGGCTGCGGCTGGAAGAGCTCCGACAACGGATATCTGGCCGATGGTAGGTTACGTGGGCCCTACAACTAGGCATTTAACCCATAAAAGGTTAGTGCTGGCGTCGGTACACAGAGGACATAGGATCAGGTCTTTTTAGCTGTTTCGTCCTTCTTGCTTCTTCCTCTCGCTTTGTGTATCCCATAGATGTGGAGTACGTCGCTGCTACGTAACGGGAAACAAAACACACATCGCAAGGAAAAGAAAAAGGTTTGCACTATTAGTCTACGAGTACTTTTTCATTTTTTTCATCATGATTTGACACAATGACTTCACAGCTAAATCCCCATAAATCTAGGGGTAGCGGATATACACATTTCTCTAAAGGGCATGTAACCCTGTTACATATATATATATATAGGTGTTCCAATGAATCAAGCAGATAGCTTTCACTTGATTAACTTGTGTTTGTGTAAGAAAATATGCGACCTACTTAAACTTGTAAACTAACATTTAGTATTTACGGCAAGCCGGTTGATAGTTTGTAAATACAATTATAATAAATAGATTGCCTGTCTGGTAGAATTAACTGGTTAGCCAATCAGTTAGTCTGGTGCCCGTTCGTGCACTCTGTTCATGAGTTCTTATTCATTAACGTTGAGAGGGACACTCACAGCCTATCATTACGTCCTGTTCGCGCCCTGAAGCTTCCAGCACTGTGAATAGAGGACCATTATGAAACCACCCTGGTTCTTCCAGTGCTATACGAAGTACGAAAAACAGTGTTTGTATGTATAGGGTCTTCGCTCACATCAACAGCGTATGTATAAGTGTCTATATATATAGCTATCCTCTCATTTAGAGAAAGTGAAAGGAGTGACCTTTACGATCCCTGTATTGTGTTTTCGTATACACTAACGTTTAAAATATTACTCGTGTTTAACTCATCAGCAAATATTAGTGTTAAAAAAACGATCATATTTTCACAAGTTGGCCTGCGAGCCTAGCTTTTGCCGGCAAACTAACCGTTGCTGCTGCTGCTGCTGCTATTCCATTTAAGTCGTCACATGTCTACGAAGTATATAACGGAGCTAATCACCCAGCTAAAAATCTTTGTTGCATCAACTAATACACGAATGAATATTTGCGCGAACGTCCACGAAACCCGGATGACTAGGAAAAAGCAAGTAAGCTTGAAGGACGATAAGGCTGCTCCTGATAGTAAGGCGTTTTAGTTTCACGCCATCCGGCTCTAATTGGCATGAACCGGTACGATGAGCGCGGTAATTATACTGTCTATCGTACTTGTCATAAGTCAACGCACACTTGAGGACTTACTTTACTGTACATAGATATTTTTGTTTTTATGATAGGCGAACATAAACAGAATGTTTATTGTCTATTTTGACTCTGTTTTCCATTACGGCAATTTTTCAAGTAATTTTAGCTTAATTTGGTGGACGAACCACTACCCTAGGACCGCTACGTTCTATATCGTGTAGGTTTCTTCATTCCTCAATCGTCCATGCTAAATCTACACCGTTTTCGTCAAGTCAGTACGCGTTCGGAAACATCTTGCATCGACCAAATCAGCCAGTGGCAACAGAAGCAGTTCTGTGGAGTGTCCCATATAAAATCATCAAATGCCAATGAAGGTGGTTCAGAGACTAAGCTGATGCAAACGGTTTCATTGAGCGAATCTGTACAGGATCTTAATGACTGAAGGCTAATGGGCGTTCTCAGGGAAGTCCTATAATCATCATGAACAAGCCGATTATGTGGAAAGACTGGAACACGCCAGGATGTGGCGCCTGATTCTCGTCCAGCCTTTTCAATACAGTTCAACTTTGCTATGGTCATTAATGGAACAACGTTACAGCAAGGGCAACGTTACTGTAATCAAGCAACAAGCAGAAAGACTGAATGACACCAACGAGGACAGATTGAACTATAGGCAGCTTCTCGTGCTATGCATAAGAGACGTATGGACTATTGTAGACCGAACCGCTACGATGTACACTAATTATCACCACAGAGACAGGGCGGATTGATTTAAATAGAAAAAACTCGGCCTCGCGTTTCACCCCACAAAAACTAAACGGCTCTGCCAAATCGTAGCTATCCCGGCGATCCGATTCGCTTTCTTTTATTGGTGTAAGCGTGTGTATATTCTAATAAAGGGAGTGTATAATAACTAGGCATTTTTAGCGTCAACGTTTCGAGTCTTACGTCCGATAATGCTATTAATTATTACGTTATAGACAACTGGCTCTTAGCATGAAATGTCTTACACCTTTAAATCTAGCCCCCTCGACGTGACCCTAACTTAGATGATCAAGCACAGAGAGAGGTACTTGCACACAGTACATCCCTCATGCGGTACTCGCTTCTGATAAATGTAAATGTTAGAAAAAAAAAAGCTCAATTATTACATAGGCTACGGTATTTCTTCAGCCTAGCATTCCGCACATAAAAATAATTCATCTTTATGACGAATATACAATTTTCGTATTGAGTCTACGCGTCGTCTATGAAGTCCCTAATGTTAAACGGCCTGCCGCAAGCTCGGGATTACGGCGAACATCCGACTATAAGAAACACCTGTTCAACATAATCGTAGTAAAAAGAGTTGCTTGTTTTCCCCTCTAACCCTTGTTACCGCTTTAGCCGAAGCTGCAAATAGTCAACAGGATTCAAAATGGGTGTTGATGTTTATTTTAGTTAGAAAAACAACTTTGTTGCATTATGTTTGCAATTAAACTTTAAAGAGACACACTTTTTTCATGCCATTTAGCTTTTGCTCAAAGCCGCCTAAACATAGTCAACATGTCCAACAGAGTTGTCAAGAAATAAAATCGTCGTCCGCGATCGTCGCCGGCCGTTTCTGGTTTTCCGATGCGATCTTTGTTCATGGAACCTCCATGTTGTCTGTCCGTTACTTACATGCTTACTGAGCCGCCAATCTACAATGCCTAGCATAGATTCATCATGCCAACGGTTCCGCCATAACAAACTGTACGTGTTTATGTGTCACTCTGTCTACAAGCGCCTGTCTGCAAGGACTACAATGACATGTGGTTACCGTCGGCCATAACATCTTCGTCCCTATAGTCTTAGTGCTGCAGAAGCTTTTGGCGCGTGCCCCACAGCAACAACAAAGTTATAGTTGAGAGGGTCACCGGAGGAGTCTAGGGGCCGTGTCTGCTTTACGTCTGCCACGTGTATAGATGGGAATAACAGATGTAACGACCTTCTGGCCTGCTCCTCGCTTTTGTGCTACGGTATGGTCGTTGCGTTAGTTCTGTGCTGCCTCGTTGGATCGTCTTGTATATGTACACTTCCGCATGGGTGACTGCGACAAGGAGACCTTTGTACGGCGAGAAACGAGCGAAGGCCACCGATATCGTCCGGCGGGGTCGATGGTTGTAAAAGAAAATGGCAGGACACTTCTGTTGCTTGCCACTAGCGCCCCGATGCATATGAGGTCTGGTTCGATCAAAGTAGAGGCGAAGATAGTCGCCGCAGCTAAGGATGATAGCATTCCTCTCACTGGGACACGAACAGAGAACAATGACGAACTGGAAATAGGCCAAGAGATGAACGGGGATAGAGGCTAAGGGAGCCCCTAGAAGAAACTAGATTATTATAGCCCTGACCACGAGTCACTTCTGGCCAATTCTTCGTTCAAAAAAATCTCCACTGTACATATATATGGTATATATTACGAAATTGCGTCGCGTATATTAGTTGCAATTGGATGGGAAACGGAGACGTGAAGAATTGGCTAGCATGATACACCTATTGTATATTGTACGGCCTGGGAAGTGACGAGTGCTGAACTCTGACAAGTGACAGAATCCGAGAGCAAGTAGTTAGGGATGCCTATGTTGCGAATTTGTCTGTCTCTAGGTATGCCAATTCGACAAGTAGTTCTAACTTGAATAAGGGATCATCTCAGCGGAACGAAAACTCAGTGACAGAACTTCATGTGTGTCATTGTCAAAATACGGTTAAGATTCGTCGACTGAATTACGGCACTACTTTGTAATTTCGTAGATCTCAAGTAATCACGCAAAGCAAAAGGTCGTATTTGTAAACAAAGCCGAACAGTTCGAAGCGGTCATGAGATGACATTTCCGCAAGTACTCGTCTACAATGTTTGAAAAGCCAGAGCTTTCGCTAATGCAGCCGTAGATGCTACCGGCGACGATAGCAGTTGATGGAAGCAATTGTAAACGAGCTAATATCTCGACGAGTACAGATCCCGCCAGACAAAGTGAGAACATAAACTCAACCGCAAACAAGTCACGAGTTTAGCCATACACAGTTTTGTTTCTTTGTTTATGTTATCATACAATATATGTCCTTTTTGCATTACGATTGATTCATAAGAGATGAGGATCTATCTATCTATCTATCGAAGACATGGGACGATTGACTTCGTTTTAATCATAATAGTTCTATAATTCTTGCCATCCATAAAAGTTGGCTATTTGCTCCCGGGTACTTTAGTGTGTGCGAAACAAAGAAAAATATCATCGCATCTGCTCAGCCGTACGTGTACATATGAGGAACTAGTTACTATAATAGTTACCTGAGGCTGCTGCAGAGCGGAATATAATAAAAAAGGGAATAACTAAGATGGTGGTTAGACTGGTTTATTTGTCTGAAATGCGTTGTTGGCATTCGAAATAAACTTCGAAAGCTATTGCGATACCTAACTAGTGTACAACTTCATAACATACGGAATTAAATAGAGTAACTTGTATCGTACTTTAAGAAAGGCATGTGCTTTTTCCCTCCGTTCTCGCACTGACGCCAAGGTGACGTATTAACCAAACATCATTGGCCATTGTATCTTTCTAATTGATTCGTCGCACAACAATAGGCGACAACCTAGATAGAACGAGGCAGATCTGGTCGATTCTATTAAACATGTAAAACAAACGTTTCCATGCACATTTTGAGGCGCGGGTTTACAACAGTATAATAAAATGCTTAGCTTCCTGGCGCACTGCAAAACCTAAATAGTAACAGCTAATCCATGGATTGTCTTACACATTTTTACTGGCAGGCGAGAACACTTCCATTGTCATTATCAGATAGGTGAAACACCCGGCTCAGTTCAATGTTATCGGCTCCAAACTCAACAGAAGTCATAAGAACTACGAGTTCTTCTGTAGTCGTATTCGGAATGTTTAAGTAAGCATAAGTTTACCTTCTGA